AAAGAATAAAAGAATACCAGGCATTCAAATTTCAAAACAAATGGATTTTATTATTTACAAAAACATATATTGTAATACAAACTTTAGAAAAATAAATACAATCTAAAATATCCATTAAAACCTATAGAAATTTATACACAAGGCTTAAAGATGGGTTCCCTTAGTTTTATTTATGAAAATGAAAATGCTAATACTTATATGAATAGAAAGTAGAGGTGTTCTAATGATTTGGAAAAATACCAGTTTGTCTCACATGTCCATAATTAATTCATAAGCTAAATTAGAAGAGAACTACCAGCAGAATTCCAATGAGTGACCGATCAAGAAAGGTCAAAAAGTATTTTTTAGTTTATCCAGACTGTACATACATGGACATTTATGATTGGTTAAAACTCTTAATTATATGCAATAAGAACATAATGATATGATTAAGAATACATGATAATTCATTAGAAACACCAGTTAATCAAATAGTTTGCTTAATTTGACACTAAAAAATAAGGAAACCCATCTTTAAGAATTATAAAACATATCCTTAATAAAGATGGAATACACCTACATGACAGAAATACTCCTGGTTGTCTGTAAATTGAGTAAGAGATGGTACCAAAACACTTTCTGTTATTTTATTTCAAGTTCTGTTAGTTCTAAGACATAATGGAGAACTTTTGTACATTATTAAAGGGATTGTAAAGAGGTTTACTAATTTTTTTATGTGTATCAGGGACACTGATATCATCAATTTACACCATTCCAATTTTCAATCAGACGTCTGTGATTCTTGTTAAAGGGATTGTAGAAAGGTTTTCTGAATTTTTTATGTGTATCAGGGACACTGATAGCATCAACTTGTACCATTCTAATTTTCAATCAGACGTCTGTGGTTCCTGTAATTCCACTAAAACTAAGTGTTTGATGATGTCACTACTTGCAAAATAAGAATTTTGGCATGTTTTTAATTAAAGGGATTGTAAAGAGGTTTTTCTAAATTTTGTATGTGTATCAGTGTCCCTGATACACATACAAATTTTTAGAAAACCTCTTTACAATCTCTTTCATACCAGCTTGTCTCATTAATTGTTTCAGTTAAAATGAATTGCTCTCTCCAATTGGCCAAATCTCCCGGGGGGGACACAACAATTAAGTTAATGGACATGTTCCTTTAAATGACATGTTGAACTCCCTAGTGAGGAGTGGTATCAGGATATTACCTTCTCTTTTCTTATGATTTTACAAAAGTTCTCCATTATGTTTCAGAGTGTTTATCAGTGTCCATGATACACATAAAAAATCTCTTTACAATCTCTTTCATTCTAAGACTACAAATAGACTAGATAGGAAAAATCGATACTGTAGAAAATACACAAACATAATGTAGACAGGATTCCATTCCACCTTTTTAAAAATATCGATAATCCAACACCACTCACTGTAACAGACACCCTACTTTGTCTATTCGTGTCTTTAGAGCAAATCAACAATCCATAACTAAACAAAAATTCGTCATCTTTTGTAACCTTTAGAAGAACACAAGTTGGTATGCAAATTTTTACTATCTGTTCGACCAATCATACTTTAGTGTCAGAAACAGGAATTTTTTAGCTAAGCCAATCAGTAATAGTGTTCACAGCTCACTGTTGAAATTTGAACCTTCAAATCCATGTGTGTTCAGAATTATTCATGTTTGAAAGTTAAAAATTTGTCTGGAATTTTAGTGAGACTATGCCATATATAGAAAACACATATATAGAAATAGACAGTGAAATTTCTAGTTTGAGGTATATTTGAAGGGATTATGTGATTTTCGTGTGTTTTAGTATTTCTTAAGACTATTAAAGCACAATAAAGACCCAAATCAATCCCCGAAAATGCCGACTGTTCCCCTTTAAGTTTTTTCTTTCAAAGTTCTTTGGTATAAATAAGTGAAAATTTGTCCTATCATCATAAAATCTAGAGACATCATCCTTGTCTTGGTGAAAATCTACTGACCATTATTCAAAGATAGTGGACCACAGCCATATACGCCCACCACGGCATGCGGATGGTAAATATTCAAGATTTTGGGGCAAGGGCAATAACTCTGCTTCTAAGGGTCAAAAATAGCTCAAATTCGAACTTGATCTTTGTTTTATAAATATCTATACACATACCGAATTTCATTTGATTCCATCAAAAAATCTAGTTTTTAGAGCGTTTACAAGCAAATGTTGACGGGTGGACGGACGGAGTGTTTACGAGCAATTGATGTTGATAGAAGCACTTACTGTATAGAGGTTAATGGGCGATAACTCCTCAAAACTGACGTAAGAGGCCTAAATCTTGAAAAAGTCTTAAATTTAATCAGAAGTAAACTAAACTTTCTCAAACCTTTCGATTTAGGTCTTTGGGGCAAGGGCAATAACTCTGCTTCTAACGGTCAAAAATAGCTCAAATTCAAACTTGATCTTCGTTTTATGAATATGTATAGACATACCGAATTTCATTTGATTCCATCCAAATAAAAACTAGTTTTTAGAGTGTTTACAAGCAAAAGTTAATGGACGGACAAACCAACAGACCGACAGGGGTGCCGACAATATACGTCCACATAGAGAGATGTGGGCGTATAAAAATGAAATGAATGGAGTTTTACATCCTACTTTTCTGCACCTAATTGGACAACACCATGTAGGGTGCAATGAGGGAAATTTTGACAGGACAGCAGCATTAGCACAGCCTGTAGCATCCTAACAATTAAACACTTTTTCCATGTCTTACCTGCATTGGGCTGGTGGCTCAAAGAGTTGTTCGCTAACCTGATGATCCAGAGTTCAATCCTGGCATAGATCAAAATAATACCTTCAGATTTTTCAACCCTGTTTCCCCCTGTCAGTGATACAGGTAAGAGAGGCTGACATGGAAAAAGCGTCTAGTCGTTCGGATGGGACAATAAACTGAGGCCCGGTGTGCTACAGGCTGTGCACGTTGAAGATCCCTCGACAGTTGGGAAAAAGAGTAGGCTAATGCCGATGTCCTGGCAAAATCTCCCTCATTGCACCATGCATGGCGTTGTCCTTCTTCATTAGCCCACATGGTGCAGAAAAGTAGGACATACAACTCTAGGCTATAGAAGTATGAAGGGATTCTAATTTTCAATCAGACGTCCGTGGTTCCTGCAATTCCACTAAAACTAAGTGTTTGATGATGTCACTAATTGTAAAATAATGCCATTAAAATATGTCAAATAATGCCATGAAAATATGTCAAATAATGCCATAAAAATATCTCAAAATATGCCATGAAAATATGTCAAATAATGCCATGAAAATATGTCAAATAATGCCATTAAAATATGTCAAATAATGTCATTAAAATATGCTGAATAATACCATTAAAATATGTCAAATAATGCCATGAAAATATGTCAATTACCTGTAAACATCTGCCAAATTATGGCATTAAAATCTGCCTGTATAGTAACTATGTCACCTATTCTTTAGAATTGCCAACATATGCCTGAAAAAAAAAAGTCAATATTGTTATTCATTTAACATCTAAATTTTACAAGGATAATAACTTAGGTTTACAAGAATCCTTTCTACCAGCTGGTCCTTGATCAAACCTCTTGGCATTGATCTCTCCTGGATGATTTGTACCCTGGATAAACTGGAATAATGAGGATCCTACCAACTGGTGCTTGGACAAATCACTTGGTCTTTTATCTTTCCAAGATTATCTGTACCCATTTACTGCTGAGCCTATTAGAATAATGAGGAAAGATGACTTATTCAGTACCCATTTACAGCTGGGTCAACTGGAATAATGAGGAAAGATGACTTATTCAGTACCCATTTACAGCTGGGTCAACTAGAATAAAGGTGAAAGATGACTTATTCAGTACCCATTTACAGCTGGTTTGATTGGAATTTTGAGGAAAGATGACTTATTCAGTACCCATTTACAGCTGGTTTGATTGGAATTATGAGGAAAGATGACTTATTCTATACCAATTTACAGCTGGGTTGACTGGAATAATGAGGAAAGATGACTTATTCTACACCCATTTACAGCTGGGTAGACTAGAATAACAAGGAAAGATGACTTATTCTACACCCATTTACAGCTAAATCCAATAGAATAATGAGGAAAGATGACTTATTCTGTACCCATTTACAGGTAAATCCAATAGAATAATGAGGAAAGATGACTTATTCAAGGTCATCAGAATTTCACAATAAACATACATATAAAATAATAACATGTCCATTTCATGCATCACATAATAAATGAGGTGTTCCTTCATTCATTTCATACTGCATAATACCTGTCTCAAATAATAAACTTAGTCATATATCACTACAGTTGAGAAAACAACATTAAAGGGAGAGGTGCTGCATTTTTTGGGGGTTGATTTGGGCCTTGGATTATATAAATAGTCTTCAGAAATATCAAAACTGTACGAAAATTGTATAATTTCTTTGATTTTATCCATAGAAAGAGTGGGAGTGCCCTTATTAGCTCTCAGTTCCCTTCTTACCCATACAAAAAGTGGGATTGCCCCTTTGACTAATTAACAGACACCTCCCAACTCATCCATTGTAAAAGTAGGAGTTCCCCTTTAAAATCATAAATCTCACAGCTCAATCTTTCCATAAAAAAAGTGGGATTGCTCTTTTAACCTATTAGCTCACATTCTCAACTCACACATGGAATAAGTGGGACTGATCCTTTGAATAATTAGCTAACATTGTAAAGGTAGGAGTGCCCCTTTAAAATCATAAATCTTACAGCTCTATCTGTCTAGAAAAAGTGGGATTAGTCCTTTAACTCATTAACTAACATTGTAAAAGTAGGAGTGTCTCTTATCATAAATCATAAATCTTTCAACTCAATCTGTCTAGAAAAAGTGGGATTCAACCTTTAACTGATTAACTGCCAGCTGTGGGCTGAGTGTATACATTAACAAGTTGAAACTGTTGGCAACAATATAAATTAACTGTTCACAACAAAATTTTCCGTCTCACTAGTTTAACATCAACTAGCAATGTGGTTTACAAACCTTCTTCTATGTTTGCTTTTTGGTGAGTTTCTTTTGAATTCTTCTGAATTTTTCAGAGTTTTTTTTTTTTTTATTACGTTTCATAATTTAAGCTAAATTAAGAATTCTTAATGCATCTTGAAAATTGTTTTGGAAAGTGGTATTTCATGCTCTGAACTTGTAAATGTTTTTGTATTTGTACTTTGGTAAGCTTGATACCATACTCTGAAATTTTCAGTATTTTTTGGTAAGTTTGATATCAGACTCTGAAATTGTCAGTGTTATTTTGGGTAAGCTTGATATACTCTGAAATATTCAGTGTTTTTATGTTAAGCTCATTACAATACTCTGAAATATTCAGTGTTATTTTATAAGCTTGATATCATGCTCTGAAATTTTCAGTGTTATTTTATAAGCTTGATACCATACTCTGAAATATTCAGTGTTTTTTGGGGTTATGTTGATATCATGTTGAAATTTTCAGTGTTATTTTTGAAAGCTTGATACCATACTCTGAAATATTCAGTGTTATTTTATAAGCTTGATACCATACTCTGAAATATTTAGTGTTTTTTGGGGTTATGTTGATATCATGTTGAAATTTTCAGTGTTATTTTATAAGCTTGATACCATACTCTGAAATATTCAGTGTTTTTTGGGGTTATGTTGATATCATGTTGAAATTTTCAGTGTTATTTTATAAGCTTGATATCAGACTCTGAAATATTCAGTGTTATTTTATAAGCTTGATATCATACTCTGAAATTTTCAGTGTTATTTTATAAGCTTGATATCAGACTCTGAAATTTTCAGTGTTATTTTATAAGCTTGATACCATACTCTGAAATATTCAGTGTTATTTTATAAGCTTGATACCATACTCTGAAATATTCAGTGTTTTTTGGGGTTATGTTGATATCATGTTGAAATTTTCAGTGTTATTTTATAAGCTTGATACCATACTCTGAAATATTCAGTGTTTTTTGGGGTTATGTTGATATCATGTTGAAATTTTCAGTGTTATTTTTGAAAGCTTGATACCATACTCTGAAATATTCAGTGTTATTTTATAAGCTTGATACCATACTCTGAAATATTCAGTGTTATTTTATAAGCTTGATACCATACTCTGAAATATTTAGTGTTTTTTGGGGTTATGTTGATATCATGTTGAAATTTTCAGTGTTATTTTATAAGCTTGATACCATACTCTGAAATATTCAGTGTTTTTTGGGGTTACGTTGATATCATGTTGAAATTTTCAGTGTTATTTTATAAGCTTGATACCATACTCTGAAATATTCAGTGTTTTTTGGGGTTACGTTGATATCATGTTGAAATTTTCAGTGTTATTTTATAAGCTTGATACCATACTCTGAAATATTCAGTGTTTTTTGGGGTTATGTTGATATCATGTTGAAATTTTAAGTGTTATTTTGGAAAGCTTGATATCATGCTCTGAAATTTTCAGTGTTTTTTTTTGTATCCATTTTCAAATACTTTGACTTTATTTCAGCATACAGTACCGGTTCAACTTTTCCAAATCTGTAAGTTATTTTTGTCAAATTTAACAAAAAGGTTATTTCTAAAGTTATATCTTTTATTTTTTTGTTATAAGGTTATAGGTAATATAAAAAAAAACTTTTTGACTTTATTTTCAGTTGTAATTTGTTCAGATGCAGATTTGATGTTTTTCTGTAGACTAATATACTTACCATCCATGATCTGACAAAAATCTTTATTCAATGGTGTTCATTGAAATGTTAATCATCAAAGTTGATGTGGATCAATTCATATCCAGCCAAGTAAAATGCTCTGTTTAATGAACAATTTTCCTGAACACAATTCAAAGAAAAATCTTGTCAGATCGTGGAGGGTAAGTATTAACCACAGAAAGCATGAAACCAAATATCTAGATCAACCTTATTCATTGCGAACTTTCTTAATATTTTTAGATTCCACACTGGAAGAGTAGAGGAAATTTCTTTAAGATTTGCGGACAGAAATTCCAATACCAAAATAGAAGCCGACGAGTTTCAAAGAGAGATAATGAAATACGACACCAATTGTACGTAATGTCATATATATTTGAACGTAATGTCATATATACTTGAATGTAATGTCATATACCCTGAATGTAATGTCATATACCCTGAATGTAATGTCATATACCTTGAATGTAATGTCATATACCCTGAATGTAATCTTATATACCTTGAATGTTATGTCATATACCTTGAATGTAATGTCATGTTATTTTTTATTTTAGATGATGGCAAACTATCCCAATCAGAATTATCCAACTGTATCATACCTTGGTCTTTTTTTCAATCCAATGGGGATGTAACCGATGTCCAACCTGCATTTATTGCAATGGATAAAAATAGTAAGTATACAGAGTATCACTTTTCAGAAAGAAAGTCTAACATGTAGTTTGGCTACAATTAAATCCATACTTGTATTTTCTTTTAATGCATCAGATGCCCTTATTGGAATTTTACGTCCTACTTTTCTAAGCCATGTGGGCTAATGAAGACAGGCAACGCCATGCAGATCAAGGGATCTTTAACATGCACAGCCTGTAGCACATGGGGCCTCGGTTTATTGTCCCATCTGAATGACTATACACTTTTTCCATGTCAGCCCTCTTACCTACATCACTGACAGGGGGAAACTGGGTTGAAAAATCTGAAGGTAACATCTCGACTTGTTCCAGGATTGAACCATCTGAGCAAGCGATTAACTCACTGAGCCACCGCGGCTCCCATATTATGTATTTAATGCATTTAATACAAATGATCAAGTAAGTTGTATTTCATTGTTTAAGATTTAGACCAAAACATTTTTCAAAATACTCTTATTCTAAAGATTTCACTTTTTTCTTTTTTCTAGATGATGGAAGTTTATCCTTCCAAGAAGCCAGAAATCCGTACTAATTTGATTGGAAAATAAACTGTCTGCACGAAAGTCTTCTTGCCTGAATTTGCCTTCTGAGACATATCTATCTAATTCAAAAAAGATACCCCATAGCACACTTCTTAAAACAAACGTCCTGAACTCGTCTCGAAATTTAGACATGAGAAAAAGTTCTACTTGTCCAACTTCAGTAGGGACGTACGTTGAAAATAGGTCAGTTGTGTGAGGGACGCAGGCTGAAAATAGGTCTTTGGTCTGAAGATCTCTACCTGTCAAATTTCAGTAGGGATGCAGGCTGAAATAGGTCAGATGTCTGAAGATCTCTACATGTCAAACTTCAGTAGGAATGCAGGCTGAAAATAGGTCAGTTTTCTGAAGATCTCTACTTGTCAAACTTCAGTTGGGTCACAGGCTGAAGTAGATCAGTTATCTGAAGATCTCTACTTGTCAAACTTCAGTAGGGACACAGACTGAAAAAGATCAGTTGTCTGAAGATCTCTACCTGTCAAACTTCAGTAGGGACACAGGCTGAAGTAGATCAGTTATCTGAAGATCTCTACTTGTCAAACTTCAGTAGGGACACAGGATGAAAAAGATCAGTTGTCTGAAGATCTCTACTTGTCAAACTTCAGTAGGGACACAGGCTGAAGTAGATCAGTTGTCTGAAGATCTCTACCTGTCAAACTTCAGTAGGGACACAGGCTGAAGTAGATCAGTTGTCTGAAGATCTCTACCTGTCAAACTTCAGTAGGGACACAGGCTGAAGTAGATCAGTTGTCTGAAGATCTCTACTTGTCAAACTTCAGTAGGGACACAGGCTGAAGTAGATCAGTTGTCTGAAGATCTCTACTTGTCAAACTTCAGTAGGGACACAGGCTGAAGTAGATCAGTTGTCTGAAGATCTCTACCTGTCAAACTTCAGTAGGGACACAGGCTGAAGTAGATCAGTTATCTGAAGATCTCTACTTGTCAAACTTCAGTAGGAACACAGGTTGAAAATAGGTCAGTTGTCTGAAAATATCTACCTGTCAACATGATTCAGGTTCTGTTTTAATATTCCTAATTCAAATTAGATACCAATTTTGTTTCTATTTTCATGATATTTTGTCTCCATTCTAATCTAACAAGTTTCGTTCCGCAGTCCTGTTCTAATGATGTTTTTTTTTTAAGCAATAAAAGCATCTCATGTAGAATTAAAAATGTACTCATGATCCACATTCCACATCACAAAAAAAAAACATAATCCAAAATAAGGTAGTGGCAGTTTAAAAAAAATTATCAGAAAAAAAGTAATCTAATTTGAATTGATTGGTTAATAATAATGTTATTAGAACAAGACTGCAGTTGAAAACTTGTTAGATTACAATGGAGAGGAAAAAATGTCAGAAAAAGTAGAAATGAAATTGTTTTGGTGGGGCAAAAAGGTCATTTAAGTATCGGCTACAGTCAATGCCACTAATGATATTGCCAGCTGTGTCACTTAATAATTATATGTTATGATAAGATAAGAATTGTCTGTTATAACAGCAACACAAGATCAAAACACTGATTAAAGGAACAGATGTGCCAATTTGGATCGGTTGATATGGGTTTTGAATATATGTAAATAGTCTTTAGAATTACTAGAAATGTACGAAAATCTCATAATTCCTTTAAAAATATCTCAAACTAGGAATTTTACTCACTAATTCTATAGATATCTTTTCTATATATCACAGTGTCTCAAGAAAAGACGAGTCGTCATTTTAACTTTCAAACGTGGCTAATTTCTGGTTTGAGATATTTTTGAAGGAATTTTGCAATTTCCATACATTTCTAGTACTTCTGAAGACTATTTATATATATTCAAGACTCAAATCAACCTTGGAAAATGGGGCCCCTGTCCTCTATATATGACAGTGTCTCAAGAAAAGACAAGTCATCATTTTAACTTTTAAACATGGATAATTCTGGACACACGTGGAATTGAAGGCTCAAATTTCAACAGTGAACACTATCACTGATTGGCTAGAAGATTTATGTTTCTGAGACTAAGGTAGGCCTATGATTGGTCAAAAAAATGGTGCATCTGTCTCTTTAAACCTATGTGCTAAAAAATTCTTATTGTTCGAACAATTGACACAACTGTCCTTTTAACAATGTTCTGTCCCATTTTTTTTTGCATGGGAATTTAAACTCCAAAAAAGTAGGCCTACCAAAACTTCAGTTGACAAAAATGCCAACCCCTGAAATAAATTACTATTTGTAAATATGGTCTTAGAAATATTCGCTTCACGTTCAAAATAATTTGGTGTTAAGGTGAAATGAGAATTTTACTCAAAGAAAGCACGGGCCTAGGTCGGATTTGGTCAAATATGATTAAGGCCTACTATCAGAAGTAGGCCTACAGTAAGAAAATCAAAGAAAAAATAGGCCCTGTTAAATGGGGACATTCTGTAGGCCTAACTATGAAGGTGCGGATGTTTTAAACCTATTTAGATACCTCGAATCTGAAAAATATCATACCATCATTTTTTCACTACACCATTTATGTCATGTCTCTGGTTCCATCAAAGTTTTTTTTAAACGAAACTGATCTCACATTGGCCATTTGAAACCATGTCATGTGGTCATGTGGTGCGAACAAAATGAATGTTACAGTTATACCCAACTCTAATGTACAATCATCGTAAGGGTAATTCAATATTATGTTAGAAAAAACGTATCTCTGGAGGTGTGGAAAAACCCCATTTAACAGTCTTTTTTTTCTGACAACTGTCAAAATATCCATTAGAGGCAGAGGCAGAGGGACAGAGTGCCAATTTTTTACCCATCATCATAAATTAGTCTCAGAAACGAGAATTTTTAGTCAAATGTCAAAACATCCATTAGAGGATGAAATAGTCAGATGATTTGGCCTTCTCAAGTCCCTGTGATGAAAAATAACAAATTGCAAAAATTACAGAGAATGTCATGCAAAATGGACGCTAGAATTGGGTTCTATAATAGTTAAACTACGTCTTACCATTATAAATATAAGATTTACATGTTTCTAACGATATCGTATGCAGTTGAAAAGTTGAAAAGTTGACAGAAATCTTCTATTTTATCGTCTGCACAGCA